ACATCTCTCACAGTTTCTTAATGGGGATGATGATGTTCGCTTTCTTTGTCCTGACGATCCTACTCGCCTCCCCCATAGTTTCCTTGATGTTGGCTTACTATTGAACGGTCATACTTCCTTTCATCCTACCGTCTGCACCGAGCCTGCTCTGTATAGTGACCATCTTGCCGTTACTACCCATCTCAGGCTCTCCTTCTCTGCCCCGACATCAACTCCTTATCGATCCCCTCGCCTTCGTCTCACACAAGATGCTGTTCCTTCCTTTACCCAATACCTTTCTACCTGGGCAGATTCCTATGTTGTCCCCCAGTCCCTTGACTCTTACAGCGCTGATTTTGTTGATGCTGTGTATGACTCTGTCAATCGCGCTACCCCTCCACGCCCTCCCCGTCACCCCAGAAGTGCCACCAACTACTGGTATCGTATCCCTGCCATGAGACATCTCCGGCAGGTAACCCGTGATCTCCACTCTGCCATACGGAGGTCTCGGTCTCCAGAGGACTGGGAAGACTTCAAAAATTGGTGCTCCTTTGCAACTCAGGAGCGCCGTCGGATACGTGAGGCGGACTGGCTATCCTTCACGGGGTCTCTATCGTTCCAGTCGTCACCCTCTTATGTATGGAATCGGATTAATGCTATACGGGGTACTCGACGGAGGCCTCCTCCCCACCCTGACCCCGCCTCCCTTGCCTGCTCTTTAATGGAGGACTGGGCACGAGCTTCCTCCCCTGAGGCACTTCCAGATCCAATGCAGGAGGCAGTGCAGGCCCGCATCGATGCGTCTGAGCCTGTTGTTCGTGCTGCTCTTACCTCCCCTGCCCCCACTGATCATCCCATCACACAGTTCGAGCTTGACAGTGCTCGTCGCTCTAGAAAAGACACCTCTCCTGGGGATGATCAGATAACCTACTCCGTCCTCAACGCCTGTACTAATATTCCTAACGGCCCCTTGCTTGCTCTCTACAATATGTCTTATGAACATGGGGTTCTCCCTTCCAACTGGAAAAATGCCACTATTATCCCCATCCCTAAGCCGGGAGATCCTGGGAAATATCGACCCATTAGTCTTACCTCCTGTGTTTGCAAGATGATGGAGAGGATACTCCATCGTCGCCTTCTTCACACCATAGGCGGCTTCCACAACTCCCTCAATGGTTTCATTCAACATCGCAGCACAGCACACTCCATTGCTTCCTTTTATTGCAATCAGACTGCCCGCATCTCCGTCTTCCTTGATATCAAGGGAGCCTTTGATACGGCTCAGCCTGCCCTCATTTTAGCTGAACTTGCACGGTTAGGGGTTAAAGGGAGACTTCTACAATGGATCGCCTCTTACCTCACTGGACGTCAGGCCCGGGTTCGCGTTGAAGGCTCTATGTCTCCTGTTCAAGAAATGAACCTCGGCACCCCTCAAGGTGGAGTCCTGAGTCCCACCTTGTTTAACACTCTCATGCACTCCATTGCATCACTCCCGTGGCCGACAGAAGTTGTCCACTCAGGATATGCCGACGATGTCCTCCTCCAAGCCCCTGACTACCTCAGCATGCAGGAAGCCCTTGATCTGGTCTCCAGAGAGTGTGATTCACTTGGTTTCCTTCTTTCAACTGCGAAAACAAAAGCCATGTGGCACGGTCGTGTTGTACCTCCACCCCTTCTCTTATCAGGAACGCCCTTGGGCTGGGTTAATGAGACAAAATACCTGGGTGTGTATGTAACTCGCACACGTTGTCAGATCCCTGAAGTCCGCTATCTTCGAGACATATGCTTTCGGCATCTCGCTCCCCTCTCTACCATGTGCAGGGGTTCCCTTGGTGCCACCATCCCTGTACTTCTCACCATGTACAAGTCCTTTGTCCGTTCCTGTGTCGACTACGCCGCCCCTGCCCTCGTCAACATTAGTCGGACTGCTGTCAACCGTCTCGAAGTTATCCAGAGGAAAGCTGCTCGTGTCATCCTTGGGGCTCCTCAGTGGACACGCTCTACTTCTCTATATAACGAACTTGGTCTTTCCCTCTTACAGGATCGTGTCCAGGAGTTTTACCTAAAAACTGCCGTTTCCATTCTACGGGATCCTCGGGCAACTATGTCCAAACCAACTTGACTACTGCTGTCCGAGACCGACCTCCATCTAGAAGACAGTGGCGAGGGTCACTCATCCGAGCCCTTCAGGAACACGACCTCCTGCCTGATATTGTTGTCACCCCTGCTGTTGGTTCGTCTCCTTCTCCCTGGCTGGATTTTCAACCTGAAGTGATTGCCCTCGGTGGTCCGCTCCCGAAATCCCAGGTGAACCCTGTTATTCTCTGCAAATACCACCTCTCCAGGATCGCTCACTGGTCCCCAGGTAGGGTCGTCCTCTACACTGATGGTTCTGTTGACCCCGCTACAGGTAGGGCCGGGGCTGGTGTCTACATCTCCCGTCCTCATGCCCCTGAGCTTATCAAACTGTCTCTCAGAGTTTCTGACGGGGCATCCTCCACTCAGGCTGAACTAATAGCCCTCCTTGCTGCCCTTCTCGCTGAGGAAGAAGCAGATGGTTTCTGCCCCTTGCTTGTCTGCTGCGATTCCAGGTCTGCTCTCGACGGGATCGCATTTGGATCGGGGAAAATAAGGACCTCATCCTCCGAATACGAGGGTTAACATCCACACTTCAGGATGCAGGCCGTCCTGTGACATTCCTATGGATACCTAGTCATGTCGGTATCTTGGGGAATGAGGCAGCAGATGACCTTGCCAAGACTGGCTGCAACAAGGCCACACCTGACTACGTTGTTCCTCGAACACTCTTACAGATTAGGACCCAAATTCGCCGCAAACAGAGAGAAGCTCGGGAAGCAGCCATCCCCCTGGACTCCCCGCCCACCTGGTACGATGTCCTCCGTAAACTTCCTGACCTCTCGTACGTCTACGGGAAAGGGTCGCGGAAAGGGGACGTGATTGCTGCCCGTATCATCATTGGGTATGACTTTGCTTGGGAGATTGGTATCCCCGCATCCCCTGAGCAACGCTCTTGTGCGTTATGCAGAAGACCCGACAGCCGCACCCTTATTCACTACCTCCTAAGATGTCCCCACACACAACGCTTCCGTGACGCCTGCTGGACCACCACTCCACGACCCCTGACGGAGACACGATGATCCTCCCAATACTGGCCAGATATTTTGTAAATAATATTGATTATGTGTTAAAGGAATATCCTTCCTTCCTTAGGCTTTAGTAAGCCCCTTTATAATATTTATACTGTATATACTTTTCACACTTGCCAGATGATTCTGGTGTCATTGTACAGGGGTACCTAGTGACAGCACTAGGATCCCGCTTCCTCTATCAAGGAATAAACAATTGAAATTGAAATTGAATTGATTTCTCATTTACGCGGTACCTTGCCAGAACCGGACTTTCACTTTCCGCGGTGCATCTACTACTCATATACGTGAAGTATAATTTTTTTTTTTATTTAGCTCATAAAATTCATACAAATTACCCGGCCAGAACATAATTTACATTGCTGAAATTCTTACAATATGATGATCATTTTCAATATAAACATCATGGATTTTGCATTAGACATACAAATTTTAGAGCTAATGTAATAATTTGATTTACACAAAGCAAATATTTTATCGTTTGTGCAAAATATATCAAGTTTACATTCAAAATATTCCCTGACCTGCATGGAATCCAGAAATGTCAATTATATTATCCTAACTTTAGTCTGAGGTATTATTTATTACTAAGCGTTAAAATCTAGTGTTTTCACCCAAACATTTCTCTGGTAGGGAGGGAAGGTGGGGGGTGGGGGGGAGGGTTGGGACCAACCGACCCAGCTGGCGTGAGTGTGAGGAGGAGGGGGAGGCAAGGTGGGGTAATTTGATTGACAGATAGTGTCCTTGAAGAATATTTCTTTTTTTATTTACTGAAGATATTTGTTTTAGCTCATAAAATTCATACAAATTACCCGGCCAGATTATAATTTACATTGCTGGAATTCTTACAATATGATGATCATTTTGAATATAAATCGGGGTACAACTGTATATACAGTAGTACCCCGATTTACACGGTCAATTGAACCCACAAGGTACCGCGGAAAGTGAAAACCGAAAACCGCGTAAAGTGAACAACAGAACATATGGGATTAATTCCAATAGAGACTGGCCCGACCCCCAAACTCCACTTTTTCCGACACAATACCTATGTTGTAGTAAAAATAACATCTAAATTTAATGATGGTATGTTCACACAATTAATATTTAAGAGAAATGCAGTCGCCAGGTTAATGTCCATTCAAATAATGGACTCAAATCCCCCGCCCTCTTCCCAGCTCACTAGCTCTTACCTCTCTGAGAAATGTTTGGGTGAAAACACTGGATTTTAACGTTTAGTAAGAAATAATACCTCAGACTAAAGATAGGATAATATAATTGACATTTCTGGATACCTTGCAGGTCAGGGAATATTTTGAATGTAAACTTCATATATTTTGCACAAAAGATAAAATATTTGCTTTGTGTAAACCAAATTATTACAGTAGATCTAAAATTTGTATGTCTAATGAAAAATCCATGATGTTTATATTCAAAATGATCATCATATTGTAAGAATTCCAGCAATGTAAATTACATTCTGGTCGGGTAATTTGTATGAATTTTATGAGCTAAATAAAAAATAATAATTATACTTCACCGCGTATATGAGTAGATGCCACGTATATGAGTAGATGCACCACCGTGGAAAGTGAAAGTCCGGTTCTGGCAAGGTACCGCGTAAATGAGAAATCGCGGAAAGTGAAACCGTGTAAAGTGTAAAGCGGGGTAATACTGTATATAAATATATGTATATTTTTTTTTTCCCAGCTAGGTCACAGCCACCTCACTGGCATGTATAGCTGGCTGAGAGGTCTGTGGGAATATTGTCTCTCTATTTTCTTAAGTTGGTCGATATTATTGGAGTTATTTGTTGGATTATTTCACTGATATGTTTGACTTTCCTTCCCACAGATATGAACTGAAGAACAAATGGCAGTGGAAAGAGAAGCAGTAGACTGTGAGAACACTATGTTGGGTGCAGGTGTAAACAACAGTGGACATAGACAAAGTATTACCAACTGAACCAAAGAATTACAAGTAGACAAGAAATTATTCTTCCTTGTGGAAATATGTTTTGAAATAATTCAAAACTTGTGTAAAGATTCACCCCCTCATAAGACTTTTGTCACATGTAATAAAAGTTTACCAGCCATCACAAGTACAGTAGTATATCAGCCTGAGTATTATTGTTTACCAGCCATCACAAGTACAGTAGTACAGTATATCAGCCAAAGTATTATTGTTTACCAGCCATCACAAGTACAGTAGTATATCAGCCTGAGTACTATTGTTTACCAGCCATCACAAGTACAGTAGTATATCAGCCTGAGTATTATTGTCTACTGTACATCAGAGGAGCTGTACATATAACAATAGTGTACAGTATATAATTTTTGTACACTTCCCTGTTGAGTGTTTTTATAGTGTATGTTGTAAGTCATAAACAGTGTTTGTTAATGACAAGTATAGTTATATGTGTAACTCATTTTTTACGCCATTTTTCACATTTAGTTCAAAGAGGTATAGAGGAACCTTGTTAATAATGGTGTAGTCACATCACAAACTGGATCTTCCGTCACACTTACCTCCTCACTGTCCTCCCGTCTCAGCATCATTACATCATTGTCAGTAAATCACATTCACTAATTGATTTATGTTTCAGTTTTCATTGTCAAATATAATTAACAGTAACAAGATATTAATCGTTCTTGTAGGAGGAAACAGTTTGCCAGTTAAGTGTCACTAAAACCTTTGAACACACAGTTCACGCAGTTTTATAATGGCAGGTCGCTCAGAGGAACAGTCAGAGTCTCCCAGAGAATTGTCTGTAAAATCACATCAAGTAACACATGTGAAAGATCATACAAGAGAGAAGCCATTTGAGTGTTCAGAATGTTTGAAAAACTTTCCATATAAAAGTAAATCAACAATACACATGAGAAATCATACAGGAGAGAAACCTTATCAGTGTTCCGAGTGTCTGAAAAAATTTTCAGAAAATTCTTCTTTAGTCAAACATAAGAGAATTTATACAGGAGAGAAACCTTATCAGTGTTCTCAGTGTCTGACAAATTTTTCACTAAAATCTTATTTAGTCAAACATATGAGAATTCATACAGGAGAGGAACCTTATCAGTGTTCTGAGTGTCTGAGAGGCTTCTCAAGAAAATCTAATCTAGAGGTACATATGAGAATTCATAGAGGAGAGAAACCTTATCAGTGTTCTGAGTGTCTGAAAGACTTCATAAGAAAATGTGACCTACAGAGACATACGAGATTTCATGCAGGAAAGAAACCATATCAGTGTTCTGAGTGTTTAAGACATTTTTCACGTAATTCCTCTTTCATAAAACATAAGAGAATTCATACTGCAGAAAAACCATTTCAGTGTTCAGAATGTCATCAACGCTTTTCTGAAAGTTATCTTCTAGTAAGACACAAGGAAGTTCACTCACAAAAACCTTTCGTCTGTGTAAGATGCATGAAACACTTTAAAGTGAAAGAGAGTTTAATATTACATGTAGAGAGATGTTACCAGACTGACCAAGTGGTCAACTCTCATCACTATGAAGGTGAAAGTTGCCAGGATTTGCACCATGACTTGAGCTTGTCTAGCCAACCAACAGTGGAGATGTGTGTTTCTGAAGGAGTGAAAAAGGAAACTAATCATGATCCACTCTCAGTTATTTGTGAGACACAAGCTTCACCAGGGCCTGAGATAATTGACCAATTTTCTTTAAAGATGGAGTGCCAGGAAGAAATAGATATTGTTAAGGAAGAATTCTGAAACTTGTTGAAAACTGGGTCCCATAGGCATGACTGCCCATTATAATAGGCTGGCCAAAGAGAGTAGTCATCTAGAAAAAAAATAAACTTTTTTGGTAATAGCAGGAGCCCACCTTAGATAAGTTGTATTGAGGATACCAAACAAAATGTGGGTGGACGCCATTCTCAATTTTGGGTTTGAGGGTCACATACAAGGTCACAAATGTCAAATTTTGAAAAATTCTGAATTTTTTAATTTCAATGGTGGCTCTATGTAACTGTTTAAAGGCATACCATTAGCACATAAAGCATATTGTTGTAATTTTATTGATAATAAATGAATGGAACTATGACTGGGTGTTTTTATTTCCATTAAAAATACATTTAGCATGCTGGGTGAGGTGCACATGGGTCTACTACTGCCATAGTACAAGTATTAGCATACTGTGTCATGTTGAATATTTTCAGGGCTCTGGCTGGCCAGACATTGGTTTGATATATGTAGTAAAAAGTGCAAACAGTGCCAGCTGGTAAAATAATAATAGTGAAGGATAGGTCATCAATGATGTTGCTAATATTGCCAAAGCAGCGCTGGTGACTTGGGCACAGCATCAGCAGAAGGAAAAGCAAGAACTATGACTGGGTGATGAGAAAAAGTACCTGGGAGATGCATACACCCGTATTATTAAACAATATCTTCCGTTGAAGAGGGTCGCCGTGTTTCAGTGCTGATGATTCACTTCATTTGTACCAACGTCATTGAAGTGCAGATGCTTTGTGGAATGGCCAAGAAGCAAAAATGCTACCTGGTGCACGATGTATTCAAGAGTTTGTCGCCCAAGTCATGGACAACTTGGTCAGCTTCCACACTTAGACCGGGAGTGACAGTCACATCCTTTAGTGGTCATGGGGAAAAATATGTACTGCAAGGTGTTCAGTGAAAACCCACTCCTGCTCAACACCATTGGTCGAGATGGAGGTATTGCAGATGTTGAGAAGTTTGTGTGTCATTTGTATGGCACCTTGGAACAACACACAGTTGATGACACCAGAGCTCACCTTTCTGGGAAGACCAAAAAGTCTCTGGAAATGCTCTCACTGGAGCTCCATACCAAGCTGACAAAATATGGCTCCAGGCTGACAAGACAACGTAGAAGTTGAAGATCCAGTGGACACTTCAGCTTCTTACCAGTGTGGATAAGACTTCCTCCAATCCCTGAAGCCTGCCTGGTGCTTGTTGCTTGTGGTTGTAAGAAGTGCAAGACAGCTAGGTGCAACTGCCTCAGAAAAGGGATAAAGTGTACAACAGCTTGTGGTTGTGACAACAGCGGTTGCTATAACCCAACTGGACCGTAGATCTATGTCTCTCTTCCGGGCTGAAATAGAGAGAAGCTGGAATGTGCTGTAAGGAACTACAGTACCACTTCTGTTCTTAAGTGATTGTGATCTACACAATTGTGACTGTCAGTGCAGCATTTAGGTGCTTTTCATCAAGAAATGTGAACTTATAGATGTTACTAGTGTATATTTGTATTTATTGCTTTGTGATAATCCTGTTACAGTAAGCACTTAATTCATGCCATCAAACTTATAGATTAGGCACTAATATTGTTAAATGAAATTGTTTTGACAAACAGACTTGCTTAATGTTTGTTTTTCCCAATTAAAATAAAAAATCTAAAATTTTTAGCCTTGAATTTGACCTGAGTTGAATTGAATTGAAACAGTTAATTTAGCCAGAAAAACACAGATACAGAGTGGGTAATAAAAACAATATTAACATGGCTGAGCCAGTTAAGAACCTGAGCTCTTTTAGGCACCTGAGATACTGTATACTATACATTTATCTCAAGGAAGTATTGTGTAACATTTAGTATCATCTGGAATAGTACAATAGCACGGTGGTAATAAGAACATCTCATAATGTTACCACGGTTATCACTTCAATATTTATTAATTTTATTTATTTATTACTATTTTTTTTAAATATACATAAATTACAGTGGAATTTAAAAATTTAATTACAATGGGGGAGCAGTACAACATGGGTTGTACATTAATAAGGTTGAACAAGAGGACAGAGCTGTCAGGATTATGTCTAGTTGGCAATTATGTTTATCAGGTGTTGGTAAACAAGATTATGATAGATTTCTTTCATTGCTGTGAGAGTGAGTGACTGTCGATGTGATACATGATACCGCACTGTTTATTGACTTTACTGTGAATGTGTTGTATGTGGTTTCTCCAGTTAAGTTTCTCATCAACAATAACTCCGAGGAATTTAGTATTTTGCTCATGTTTGAGGACTGTACAGTATTACCAAGGTACAGGGGGTCCAAGTCTGGGGGTAAGTTTTTCCTTCTGTGAAAGATCGTGTAGTGGGTTTTCTCAAGGTTTGAGGTCAGTTTATTATGTATTAACCAGGTTCAGACTTTAGTCAATTCAGTGTTCATAGTTCTCATCAAGAAATGGAGGTCTGAGTTCCTGGCATAGAGATTACTATCCTCTGCAAATAAGTTGTATTTTATGAGTGTGCTGGCATGGACTATGTCGTTTATGTACAACAAAAACAGTACTGATTTACCTTCTTCTCGCAATGTCCCAGGAACTTCAGCTCATTGTCAAAATACACACCTAGGTCCTTCTCACATTTAGTCTCAAATAGTGCAGTTTCTTCATCCCGCTGGGACATGTGATACGCCTCCTTACCGTTGTTATGCCCCAGGTGCATCCTTTTACACTTCATGACATTGAATCTCAGCAGCCATTTCTTCGACCATTCTTGGAGCCCACAGAGGTCCACTGTAGTGGCTCCTCTCCCCTACAACTCCCAACTGAGCTCCGGCCACGCGCCTACCAGCCAATCAGCGTACAGCCAGCTATGCCGAGAGACTAGGTCTATGCAGAGGACGGAGGGGTACGATCGCCGACCTAGTCTCGACCATCAACCTTCAGTTCAGGATCAGAGCGTTTTACACCTTACGCTTAAGCCGGTGTGATTGGTCCTCTCACTACGCTCACCCCAAATCCTGATCCTCGTAAATTGTATAAATACGGCTATGCTTGTCCAGGGAGACCATTCTACACTCGGCTACTGGACCAGCAACATCTCTCACAGCTCCTCACCTAGTCACTCCTAAGCACTGCGCTGTACAACAATATATATACAGAAAGCGCATTGTGAGTTTCTATCCTACCTCATTCCTGAGTGGAGATATCTACATGTACGTACGTTTGTGTGCCCATACAAAGAGACAATAGACAACTAAAGAGAATTGATAACTGGCCACATACAGTATGCTACACCTTCTGCAGCTCTTCACAGTCTGCTCGGTTCTTTATTTACAGAAATATCTCGGCGTCATTGGCAAACATTTGTATGGAGGACTGTACAACGTCAGGCATGTCATTTATGAAACAAACAAACAACAGCGGGCCCAATACACTGCCCTCTGGTAGCCCTCTTGTGACAGGTACGGATGATGATTTCGTGCCATTAATCACCACACACTGCTTGCGGTCATGTAGAAAATCTTCTATCCACTAGTACGTATCCCTGAATACAAATTCAAATTCAAAACATTTATTAACAATTACATTAAAAGGAGCTGGTTAGCATGCTAACTAGCCCGCCCAAAACTAGTCTTAACAAGAGCTCTAACATTCTACAAATCATAAATCAGATATGTATACATCAAATAGATATGCATAAAATCTACAATCTTATGTTAAATTTACAGAATTTTTCCATAATATTCTTAACCATATTTTTTTTGTTCATTAAATAACAAACCATCTCTGTAATATCAGTAATACCATCACCCCTAAATTCTGATAAGCAGTTGCATTCCATAATGTAATGATGTAATGTTTGAGTCTTTACATAGCCACACAGTTTAAAAGGAATGCCATCAGTTCCTTCAATATATTGCCAATAATATTTGTATCCAACGCGTAGACTCATCACAAATGTATCGTACTTAAGTGAAGCCTTACCATAAGTAGAACTGGTAGAATTCAAAACTCGAACATAATGTTTCAAACTACTACTACCGCTGTTCAAAATATTCCGAATATTGTCCATTTCCCTTTGCTGTCGGATTTTTGCCATTCCACATTTTATTCTTTTAATACCCAAAATACAATTGTATTCTACAATTTCTTTGCCACACCCTTGCTTAGCCAAATCATTCATATAAATACCACAATGGGATGGAATCCACATAAAACTAACATCATATCCAAGTGATTTTATGTCATGAATACACTAATAACATTTTAAAACTAAATAATCATTAAGAGGCTACATCCGGCCTGATTCCCATTAACTGAACCACCACAGTACATATGAATAACATTTTCCTTATGGTACTCAGATATTTTATCAAGGAATATTTGCCATAACTCAAAAGGATTACATTCTTTTTTCCTTTTTTTTAAACTCTAGCTTATCCATTGTTACAGATACACTCCATGAACCAAAGTTTCAAATAAACTTTGTTTGGCAAAGGCACACAAATCTACAATATGAGGGCCTGAGCTGCCACCATTTTATAAGGGCCTGTGTGTCAGTAACATTTCCTTTTACTCTCATACTTATTACTATTGGTAGCGTGACGAAAGGAGGCTCGTGGGTAGATGTAATGATAGTAACAAGTAATAGGGAAGAAATAACGGTAAATACTGTAGGTAAATAATAGTCACAGTTATACAAATACAAAATATATTTAAACATTAATATGAAATTAGGAGAAAGAATTTATATGTACCAACAGACGAAATCTAGTACTAGGCCCTCAGGCTCAACATACTCACACCACTACTGGGTGAACATACTCAATAACACTTCCAACCTTACTGGGTGGACATACTCAATAACACATAACTCTTATAGTCACTTAGCACCATAAAGACCAGGGCAACTGCCACTACAACACTCAGTCGTCAGGAGTGATACTCAAGCAACAGCCATGGGGTCCAGCCACCATGGGGTACTTTCCGACGAACTCTGAAGATCCCAGTGGAGTAATCCCACCACACAAATAGCCCTACTGAGTTAGACACTCATCCACCAATGATGGGGGCTGGTAGTGGTGTGTGGCTTGGTGATCCGAGGACACCTCGCAGGCCGAGCGTTAGGGCCAGACGAGCCAGCTATGGGGGCCATAGGTAGTCTGACGGCCGGGTCTCACGAAGGTAACTGAGCCTACTGGACCTCGGACATCTCCCCAGACATAGTGGATACAACATCCACGCTACAGACACGGTCTAGGCTGCGTTAGGGACCTGAATGGATGAAGGGACGGGCACTTACTAACGGTGACAACGACATCACATTTCAGGGGACGTTAAA